ATATATATATCATGAAAATAAAAAACAAAAAACAATCGTTTGCTCATCTTTTACCACTGTTGAATTTTTGTTTCAGACTTTCCATTTCAAGCTGAAATTATTGCGTAAACGCCTTCTGATTTGTTTCAGATGTGCAGAGAAAAGGTACCCGGAGGACCTGCCCTCCCTCAGCGTGGTGGTGATCTACCTGGACGAAGCTCTGTCCATCATCAAGCGGGCCGTCCGCAGCATCATCGATAAGACGCCCGCCAGGCTACTGCAGGAAATAATCCTGGTGGACGATCACAGCACCAACGGTTCGTTTCATCTTTTACACCTTCCTGGTTTTTAAATGAGAGTTAGGGGTTTGTATTCTTGCCAGCGAATTAGGAGACATGCTAAAAAACAATGTTTTGCCCTAATTAAAGGTTTGCACTAAAATAGGAAAAATGATCCGGCCCAGCGGGATTCGTCCCGATTGTCCCGATTACCCACTCCGCCCTTGCCTGAAGCCAAACTAAACTGAATCCATGCCTCAGCTTCTTGTGTTAAACATGTTTTCATTTCTCCAGAGGATTTAATGGGGAAACTGGACGAATACATCGACTCCGTCCACGAGAAGCATCCAGGCCTGATGAAGAGGGTGCGGCACTCGGAGCAGCTCGGTCTGACTCAGGCCAGACTGTCGGGCTGGAAGTCGGCTGTAGGAGACGTGGTGGCCGTCTTGGATGCTCACATAGAAGTCCATGTGCAATGGTGGGTTCAAGTGCTGAGCAAACGGAGGAATGCGGCTTAATGTTGGCTGCAGATGTCAAAACAAACACTTCACAGCTACAGTGTGAGTCAACATGCCTGTGTGTGTGCAGGGCAGAGCCTTTGTTGGCTCGGATCAAGGAGGACCGCACTGTGATACTGACCCCAGTTTTTGACAAAGTCAACTTTGATGACTTGACACTCACTCCTTACACAACTAGCGCTCATGGCTTCAACTGGGCTCTATGGTGCATGTACGAGCTCTTCAGACCCGAGTGGTACGCCTTAAAGGACGAGTCACTCCCTGGCAAGTAAGAGCCACTTTCATAAGATTACCCAGAAATAAACCAGATTATGGTAAAACCCTTTTACTCTTAGAGGGAAGAGTTTGACAAAATGCCAAATAAAAGAAGGTTTTTGGCTTGTGTAGATCAAGCTCCTTATGAAGAAAAAGAAAATATTGTGTTTTCAGCTCTGAAGTTTATCCAGTGTGATATGCTATACTTTACTTTTCTTCTTTTTCCTGATGGTCTAACCAGGAGCCCCTCCATCATGGGGATCCTTGTTGCTGATCGCAAGTTCTTTGGAGAGATTGGAAGTCTTGACAGTGGAATGAAGATATACGGAGGTGAAAATGTGGAGCTTGGCATCCGGGTAAGAATTCCTAGAGCAGCATGCACGCTTTTTTTCTAAAAACACTTTTTTGTTCTTAACTATGTCTATGACAAAACTAAATACATATTCTTGAAGAAGTTATTCAACAAAAATAATGAACATGGACAGCTAAACCTATGTAGAATTGGGTCTACATAGTCTACATTAACTTTGAAGTATTATTGCCATTTTTACACTTGTTGCTTTATGTGAAGATTTGTAACATCTGCTAGAATGCAGTTATTACATGCAGTCACAGCAGCCTGTTAAATAAAATAGTAATAATAATAAATATAAAAAGTGTGTCTACATAAGTATGTAAATGTGAGTTTTGTATGTACTTGTGTATTTTTTAATGTGTTTGTTCTTGTGAATAAATGTTTTTGCATAGGTATAGTACATACAGTGGGGTGCGAAAGTTTGGGCAGCCTTGTTGATTTTCCTGATTTACCTTTATAAATTATTGATTGTTTGAATAAAAGAAATCAGTAAAATATATCATATAGGAGACAAACAGTGATATTTGAGAAGTGAAATGAAATTGATATGATTTACAGAAAGTGTGCAATAATTGGTGAAACAAAATTAGGCAGGTGCATAAATTTGGGCACTGTTGGCATTTTATTGATTTCAAAACCTTTAGAACGAATCATTGGAACTTAAATTTGGTTTGGTAAGTTCAGTGACCCTTGAGCTCCATATACTGGTGACTCCAATTCTGAGAAAGGGTATTTAAGGGAGGCAATTGTAAGTTTTTCTCCTCTTTGCATCTTCTCTTTAGAGTGGCAGCATGGGAGTCTCAWAACAAMTTTCAAATGAGCTGAAAACAAAGATTGTTCACCGTCATGGTTTAGGGGAAGGAGAGATTTCAGCTTTCAGACTCCACTGTGAGAAACATTGGGAGAAAATGGAGGACCACAGGCACTGTTCAAGTCAAGGCTCAAAGTGGCAGACCAAGAAAAATCTCCAATAAACAGAAGTGAAGGATGTTGAGAACAGTCAGAGTCAACCCACAGACCAGCACCAAAGACCTATAACAGGGGTGTCAAACTCCTGTCCTCGAGGGCCGCTATCCTGCATGTTTTAGAGGTTTTCTTGCTCCAACACACCTGATTTTGATCGCTGGGTGATTAACAGGCTTCTGCCCAATTTGAAGAGTTAATTCAATCACTGAATCAGGTGTGTTGGAGCTGGAAAACCTCTAAAACATGCAGGATAGCGGCCCTCGAGGACTGGAGTTTGACACCCCTGACCTATAACATCATCTTGCTGCTGATGGAGTCACTGTGCATCATTCAACTATTCAGCACACTTTACACAAGGAKATGCTGTATGGGAGAGTGATGCAGAGGAAGCCTTTTCTCCACCCACATCACAAACAGAGCAGCTTGAGGTATGCTAAAKCACATTTGGACAAGCCAGCTTCATTTTGGAATAAGGTGCTGTGGACTGATGAAACTAAAATAGAGTTATTTGGGCAGAACAAGGGCCGTTATGCATGGAGGAAAAAGAATACAGCACTCCAAGAAAAACACCTGCTACCTACAGTAAAATGTGGTGGTTCCATCATGCTGTGGGGCTGTGTGGCCAGTACAGGGACTGGGAATCCTGTTAAAGTTGAGGGACGCATGGATTCCAATCAATATCAGCAGATTCTGGAGACCAATGTCCAGGAATCAGTGACAAAGCTGAAGCTGCTGAAGCCGGGGCTGCATCTTCCAACAAGACAACGACCCTAAACACTGCTCAAAATCTACAAAAGCTTTCATGCAGAGGAACAAGTACAACGTTCTGGAATGGCCATCTCAGTCCTCAGACCTGAATATTATTGAAAATCTGTRGTGTCACTTAAAGAGAGCTGTCCATGCTCAGAAACCATCAAACCTGAATGAACTAGAGATGTTTTGTAGAGAAGAATGGTCTAAAATACCTTCAGCCACAATCCAGACTCTTATTAGAAGCTATAGGAAGTGTTTAGAGGCTGTTGTTTTTGCAAAAAAAAAAGAGGATCTACTAAATATTGAGTGAATGTTTATTTTTCGGTGCCCAAATTTATGCACCTGCCTAATTTTGTTTAACCAATTATTGCACACTTTCTGTAAATCATATAAACTTCATTTCTCTTCTGAAATATCACTGTGTTTGTCCCCTACATGATATATTTAACTGATTTTTTTATCCAAATAATCAATAAATTATAAAGGTAAATCAGGAAAATTAACAAGGCTGCCCAAACCTTCGCACCCCACTGTATATGTCGGTGTTTGTCTGTGTGTACTTATAGATAAATTTTAATAATAAATTATATAAAAAAATTCAGATCCTACTGAAGGAAATTGTGTRACTAATTAATTGAATATTACATGCAGTATTGTATTTTATACTTTCTGATTATCTCAGTCTTTAAGTTAAAGCAGACAAAGAGTTGATGCGTCTTATCATGTGTTCTTTCTTTAGTCTAAACAAAATGAGTTATGTTCTGACGTCTGACGTAAAAGGTAATACCCCCATGGGTGTAACCAGGAAGAGATGAACATTATAAACTCAATTCATTATTTTAGTAAAAAGAAGTTGTCTGTGTGTGTGAAGAGTCTCTGCTTTACAGCAAGGCTCCAGTGTTTTGTTTTGATTTAGGTTAAGGTCTTACACTGAGGCCTGTGTGCTGTACTGTGAACCTGATTGGAGTCAGAAGATTGAAAATAAAGTTTTGACAAGAAATCCAGTTGGATTTCTGTTTATTCGGACATACCATTTTGAACAACGCATATTTTTCCTACATTACTATAAAACAAATACTATTTAAAGGTCTTTTAGATGGTCAAAGTTAAATGTGTATTTTTTTGTTGAATGTATGTATATGTATAGTACATATTTGTATGTTTGTGAAAATGTGTTTGTTTATTTTTATGTGTAAATTTTTCAAAATGAATTTTTGTGACAAATTGCAAAATTTCAAACTTCTAAAATGATGAAAAATGACTTACTGGTACTAWATTATATTAGTTTGGAGAACTCACAACATGGTAGTCGTAGGTATTTCGGACGGTTTACTACAGTAAAACTGTAGTAAAACTATAGTAAAACTGTCTTTGACTTTCATTTGATTTTTATAGAATTTTTATTTATTATTACTTTTGTCAGATTCAAGTTATTTCTGTGACCATTGTGGTGTTTTATTTCATTAAACGAAGGGTACCAACAACTTTGTCCACGTGTAAATGTGATATTTTTGATCATTTTGGACATCTTACTACAGTATGTGGTATTTTTATTCATTAATTTTTTTAACATTAATTTTTCTTATTACTTTTTAATAATTAATAAWTCTGACCACATAGTTTAGTAGTGTAAAATAAACATTTGTCCAACCAGTAATTGTTGTGTTTTTACAGGTGTGGCTGTGTGGAGGCAGCATAGAAATTATACCTTGCTCTAAAATTGCCCACATTGAACGATACAAGAAGCCCTATGCTCATGACCTGGAAACCACTGTAAGACGTAATGCCCTAAGGGCGGCAGAGGTGTGGCTGGATGAGTACAAATACAACGTTGAAATCTCTTGGAACCTCCCCATAGGGGTACGACTGGACGTTCAGTAATAGTAACAAGAGTTTAATTCTCTTATTAAATGTAACCTGATGTTGTTTAAGATGGCAAAAAACTGAAGTTCCTAATCATGAAAAGTGGATTTTTGTATCTTTTTTCCAACAGAATCATGGGATAGACATCGGAGATGTGACGGAGCGGAAGAAGCTGAGAGAGAGGCTGAAGTGTCGGCCGTTTCGGTGGTACCTGGATAATGTTTACCCCCTGCTGGAACCACTACAGAACCTGTTTGGATATGGAGCCGTAAGTCCAGCTTGGATTGTAAATATCTGCCATGCTTTTAACATACTTTGCTTAGAGTTTACTGTTAAATTAATTCATCTTACGAACTTCCTTGGGCTTACGTCACAAAACATATAGGGTTGGGCTTATGTTTTTGCCATGAATTTTCCACATACTCAAAATAGAGTAAAACTGTGAATTGAAATACTGAGCTGTTTGCATATTTTAGCACGGGTAAATCTCCCCTTTTCACTTAATACATAATAATTAAGGGGGGGAAATAGGCCTTGAGCTTGTTTTGCACCCAGTTATTTTGGTTGCAAAGTCTCAGCTACAAAGTTTCTTACTCGCGCAATTTATTATTTCAGAAATGTGCCCATAAAACATTACCTAAAACGTGACAATGAGGTGCTAACCCTAATGCCTGTTAGTGTATGTATTTAAGTGTTGTGTTTATTGTCAGCTGATTAACGACCTGCAGCCAGATCTGTGTGTGGATCGAGGACCTATGCCTGCTGACTCTCCTATAGTTTACAGATGTCACTTCCTCTCTAATCAGGTGTGTTCAGAGATTCACAGCAGACTTTCTTTTTCTTTTATTGTCTTTAAGTGATTTATTATTCTGTGTTGCAGCACTGTTWTGTTACCAATGGGGAACTTTACGTCGGCGGAATCAAATCTCACAAATACGAGAGCAACAACTGCCTGGTGGACCCTGGGTCGGGCGACATCCCCAGACTTCACGAGTGCAACGTGGCCCAGCAGAAGAAATTTCACATGTTGTGGAATTTTAAGCAGGTAAACACTTTTCCAACTACAAACCAGAGTAAATGTTATTTATTTACTTATTTATTCATTTTGTGGAAGGAAAAGGTTCAAATGAGATTTCTTTCTTAGGGAGGACCTATCCAGAACAGAGAGACGAAGAGATGTTTAGAAATTACCATGGGTGAGGACGGTTATTTCAAACTGGTTGTTCAGCAGTGCAGCGGTCAGAGGTGGAAGATCCAACACATCATCAACGACATCGCTGCACATTGAGCCAAACAAGGGATGAAATTAATAAATTTTGTTTTTTTTTCTAGCAAGATACTTCCAAACTTGTCATGTCATGATTTAGACACAGAAAATCCAAGGCAGTAACTTTTTTTTCTTCAAAAAAAGTCCTTTGGAGAATTTGCTTTAATAATTTCATAAATATTATTCAAGTCAAACAGGATCTCTTGTGATTTGGCTGTCATGAATTATCAGAGATAAAGGTGTCCCATTTGTTCTGCCACATGTGGAGCCCGGCGTTCTGTAGATGAGCTGGCAGCGAGCTGTACCTGTGGGCAGGAGAAACGTGAGAGAAATTAATGTTATTTTTTTATTGCTTTGCATTGAATTAACTATATTTAAACTGTGGATATTCTTTTGCGGGACAATGGCCATATTACCATTTTGAAGGCATGTATGTACATATATTGACTTATTTGTGCTCGCTCTAAATAATAAATTGCAGGTTTGTCTTCCTGTAGCAGCAAATGTTTCTACAAACCAAGCTATGATGTCCAAGGACTACAAGTATTGCAATCTTAGGATTCTGTCTGAGAATGGTTTGCCCTCCGCCATGAAAGGCAGGTGATAATTCAAGATGGCTGCAGCTCAGTTTTAGACACTGAAGTAAAATTTGGTAGTAGCTAGGAACAGATTGTGTAGGTTTTTGTTTAAAACTTTTGAAAGATGAGCAAAAACAAATGTTCCCAACACAAACAAGACCTTGCATTTTTTATTTTTTTCCCCAAGATTTGACCAAAACAGCTTTAACTCAGGCATGTATTGCCTTAAATAACAACAAAATGAAGATTCTAACCCTCCAACCAAACTGACTCCAAAGAATCTACTGTAAATGTACATCTAATTATTATGTTAAGATCTATAAAATCTGCTCAATTAAATAATGCTAAAATTTTAAACAAAAACCTTGAATGTGTTTCAAATAGTAACACACAAAATATTAGCTCTGTATCTGTAAAACTGACTGAGGTGTAAACATCTTGAATCTGTCTTTGCAGTGTTTTTACTACGTAAAGCCCATGCTGTTCAAATATTATGTAAAAAATAACTAAAATATGAAAGTATTGTATGTATCTATTTTTTTACACTTAACCTAATAGATTTTCCTAACCATGTCTAAACATGAATGAATACAATCGAAAGTGTTCCATTATGGCCCGTGATTTTTATATTTTTTTTAGAGAAAATGGCTGTCTGATTGTTTTTTGTAAGATGGCGCACTAATCAGTTAAAAACAAATAGAAAAAGCTGTTTCTGACCTGATGGAGTTGACAGCCAGCTCTTTCAGAGTACCCAGGTTCGCCTTCAGTCCTCCGATTCCGACAAAAGCTTCATAAAARTCGTAGGAGAGACCCGACGTGCCGAACAGAGACGGGTCGTCGGAGCTGACCACCATCGGGTGTCCCTCTGACATCAGCACAGCTGCAGGGTGGTTCCTCAGATCTGAGATCAGCATCAGCACCTGCAGGTCAAAGGTCAGRCAGATGCTTTAAAATAYGAGGTGTTTTATCATTTATTGGAGGTAAAACATCACCTGGTTGGAGATGGGGCACAGCTCTACAGCGATGTTTCTGTTCCTGGACAGCTCCTTGGCGAGGGGGTGGTGAGGCAAAGCGTAGCCGTGTCCGATCCGTGAGGTGTTGAAGAGCAGAGCATCGAGAATGTTTTGATCCACGTCCGTGCCTTCGTCGTCTGCGTACAAAACAAATGCAACGTTGTTTTTTTTTTCCCCTTTCTTGAATCTTAGTGCGTATTTGAAGATTCTGATCCGCCCACCCGTCTCCCCGGCGTGAAAGAAGTACGGCAGCGATGCACCCAGCTCAGCCGGCAGAGAGAGCGCCTCCCTGAAGTCCCACAGACTCCTGCCAACGTTCTCCCTGCCAACCTGGAAACCATCCGTCACACTAGAGATGAGTTCAAACAATCCAGACTTTTCAAATTGAAACTGTGCATCTTTACAGCAAAGAATTATAGTAACAAATCACTTCTTACCAAATCAAATCCAGCAACCACGTCTGGAAAGTCCCGTTTCAGCTGGATGGCCTCTTTTACAGCTGCTCTGACCTCAGATACACTCAGAGCCCTGAAGAAAACAAACACTAAACACCATCCATCTCTAACAAAGTTTCATTAAAAAAAAACATTTAAATAGCAATGGAATCTTAAAGCAGAGTATTCATTTTTTTATTAAAATAAATTACATTCTGCTCCTAAATTTAATGAATTATTTTGGTCACACTCCACCTCATGACCCAAGACTCATAAAAGTTAGTCATCTTTTAGCAATCATGTTCGGCCATATTTGTTGAGTTCATCAAAACAACCATGGGGAACAATTTCTGGAGGCGACCAGTGTTAAAGGAAAAGTGGATAATTAAAGTCATCCAGCTGTATTATTTGGGGGAATTTCCTCTGTCTAGGCAATAAAAAGGAACAAACTGTTTATGACTCAAACTGACAATGAATGCCTCTCAAACATGAAATAATAACTAGAGAAATTGCATTTCCTGCAAAAATGCTATGGCTTCTGCTGAAAGCTGCTGAAATGGAGCTGAAAAGATTTGATAGCAAAACCRTTAATCATTTTGAAAAGTGGAAAGAGGCAGAAAAAAGTTTAACTTAGAAGGAAAAAGGAGCTGAATAATAGCAGAAAAAGCAACAAAAATGCTAAATTAGCATAAAAACAAGCTAAAGTTAGCAGACACAAGTTAAAATCAGCACCCAGTTAAAAGGGGTTAAAGTCAAGTTAGCAGAAAAAAAGCAAAAAAGTACAGAAAAGTGGCAATTTGTTGTAAAATAGCTTAATCAGCCAAAATGTGCAGTAAAACAGCTAAAACGTAGCTGCAATATTTTAAAATTAGCACAAGAAAGCAAAAAGCACAAGTTTGCTAAACTAAGTAGAACACAACAGAAACATCCACCAAAATGTATGTTTGGCTTATAAAAGCCATAACAGCTGAACATTAGCTAACATTGCAGCAAATAGCTGAATATAGCAGAAAGCAACTGGAAGAAGCAGAAATTGCTCAAATTAGCAGAAAGAAGCACAAACAAAAGAAAACAGCAGACGAATAGAAGAAAGATGCAGAAAATAGCTAAAATAGCAAAAAAGCTAAAATTAGCACAGGAAAGTTAAAAAGAGCAGAACCAGAACAAAAGGTAAGGTGTTGTAAAGATTTAGAACTTTTTGAAGGATTTTAAGGATGTTGAAAACATCCTTAAAACATTTAACATTAATTTTCATTGGGAAAAATGTGGCCGAAAAAGTGAAATTGCTAAGAAAGTATAAAAAGCTGAAATACCAAAAGTCATAGCCAGAAGGTCCTGAAGTAGCTGAACGTTTTGACAAATGAATTGTTGAAATTGCACAAAAATTGTGGAAAAAGTTGCGTACCAAAAAACGTACAGAAAATCAAATGATCTCAATTGTGTGAATGCTACAAAGCATTCACACAATAATAAACAAATGAATCAATATTAACAATAAATACAGTACGTTTTATTTTGGGATTTGTTAAATTTAGCAGCTACAGTTTTAAATTCTGCTCTGATGAAATCTTACCTGTGGACAGAAATTATGATCTGCGCACCAAGGAAGTCTGGATGATCCTTTCTAAACTTCTCTGTAACTTCCTGAAACAAGCTCAGAGTCCAGCTCTTATCGTGAACGGTCCCGTCAAGCTCGTACGTCTGCGAGGTTTACATTCGAGGAGAACGAAAAAGGACGTTTGTCAAAAATCCAGAAACTGAGGTCTAAAGAAGGGAGAGAACACAAACCTTTGACAGACCACTCCTCACTTCCAGGTACATGATGTTGTCTTTGTGAAGCTCCTCTAAGCCCTGGTAGTAGTAGTCCCTCAGCACAGGAGCATGGGTGACCAGCCCAGCGGCGGCAACAAAGGCCTTCTCAAACTTCTCCCACACCACATCCTGGTTTGGGTATTCACCCTCTGGATCCTCAGTAAACAGCGTTAGGTGCTGGATTAAACTGAAAACCACCCAAAAACAAACACTTCAGGGATACGTTCTCGTATTTGTTTATCTGAACGTGCTGAACTGACCCGTTATCGAATTCTGTGCAGTCTCCCGTTTTGGCTCTTAACGTCTCCAGCAGCTGCCAGTAGAAGCAGTCCCATCGGGGAAAGGGCTGGCGGTCTGAGAACAGGAAGCGGACCGAGTTGTCCCAGGTGAAGCAGACGTAACAGTGAGGTCTGTAGGTGACATTTTTCACCAGCCACTCCACGTCAACCAGAGACGAGCTGTGAATGTGGAGGGCTGCGCCTGTTCAACAGACCAGATCGGAAAATCAAACCGATGCAGTGAACAAAGACAGAAAAGTTATTAATGAAAGGTAAAAGTCAGCACTCATCATACAAGGTGATATTTATGTGTGTTTCACAGGGATGGATGGTTTAAGCTGATCTAAAAGTCCAGATGAAACATTTCCTATAACAGCATCAGTCAGCCTGATTGACACTGCCCTATCTAAGTCCCGCCCCTATAAATGTRTCTGGATTCCTCTACTTCCTGTTTGACAGTTTGGTTGAATGGGAGCACCTGCAGCATTTGGGCAACTTCACTTTGAGACGATTGATTTGGACTCTAGAACCTCCTCATGTGCTCAGGTGTTCTGAAGGAGATTTCTCTGAAAGCTTCCAGATCTGAAGATCATTTGATCAGAGTTCGTTTGCTGAAGGTTCTTGGTTTTTGAAGATATTTTGTTTCTGCTCAGCCTTTGGTCATTAGATCAGAGAGATGATTAATGTTTAGAGGAGACGTTTTTCCACATGTTGGACCTGAAACAGCAGCTCTGTGGCTCAGGAGCAGTAATATTCAAGGTGCTGCTGTTTGGACAACAAAAGTCTCTGATGTGGACATCAGGGAGGAGACATGGCCTCGTCAGCTGGGATGCTTGGTGGTGGTTCTGCAGGCAGGACTCAAACCCAGTTTCTCCACCTTTAATTAGGCGCTTTGATAAATGTATTGAACGACCCCGGCAGTGCGTGGGGTCAAGTTAATGCTTAGACCTCTGCATGTCCTTTTGAAATCTTTCTAAATGTTTTTTCTAATTTGTTTTCTGCTTCGGTTTGAAAAATTGCTGTGAAACTGTGACGCTGTATGTAGGGATGTTGACACTTCGTCAGCAGCTGCAGCCATTTTCTTCCCAAACTGCTGTGACCAGATTTTGCAAGGCTGCTCGGTGCGTTTGCTTGTAATTTCCTCCTGCTTCGTTATTTCTACGAATTTCAACAAATCGGGCTGCCGTCAGGTAGTTAGCTACAGCCTCGTCGTCGAGTTTTTAATTTTTGTTTATGCGTTTTTTGAAGAGACAATTTTTTGAAAAGAGGATCAAAGTAAATCACCTGAGTTTTTCTAGTGACCCCTTAAATAGATAAGCTGCCATGAAGAACATTATTTTATCTGCCCTTGTTCCAAATTTGATAATGATTTGAAACGACGAAGTATGTTTTTTAAAATCACGAATAGCGCTTGTTGCAAAGTGTTTTGATGCTCGTCTTCGTCACTTGACACATTTAACACGCTGCCATTGGTTGAGGAGCTTTGTTTACAAAACAGATGTCCACATGGTTTTTAAATTGTTTTAATTTCCTTACTTTCTAAGACACATTAATTTGATTTGATGCTACAGTTTGCCTTGTAATGTTATTTTATACCTTTTCTGCTACTTTTGAATAGGCTATTCTTAAGTTTTTTATTAGTTTTTTAGGATACAAGGTGCTTCCTACAAAAACCAGAATGTGAATTTTTCCCTAAAATTTCATGGCGATATCTTGAACACTCAGGAAGTTATGAGCAAAAACAGAAAACAAGGTGAAATGGTCACAAAGGCCCCATTGGTTCTGCTGTGAACAAGAAAACGAGCTGATTTCAACTAAACAAACATCAATAACTTCCCTCATCATACTTGAGATAATCACATGATTTTGTTGTTATTTTGTATGGTTTGAAATGTTCTTTTGGAATCTGCTGTCAGATTTAATATTGGTGTAGGATTAAAAATGTATCCACATCCCTACTCTATGTCTACAGGGCTCTGCGGTTGTTTTTATGGTGTAATGGAAGTAATGCTGCACTCGCTTCCTAATTTTCAAACTTCACCCTCTAAATAATTATTGGGTGGTCTGATTTAAAAAAAAMAAACAACCGTTTTGGAATCAGTACATAGAACCTTATGAGGAAAAATAGCTCTAAATTAAGTTTGAATATTTTTTTCAAAGTCCCTACTTTAATGTCTGAGGTTAACCAGCATGAAGGACTGATGAACTCAAAATCTGAATTTTCTAGAGGTTTCTCAGGCATGTTTGTTTGTTTTTTTCTTTATATAATCAGTTAATTTGAATTTAAAGATAAAAAAAAGTCATTTTGAAAAAGTGCTTTGATAAAAGATTACAACTTTTGGTTTACTGCAGCAACTATTAAAACACAATTCCCACTRAATATTATTCTTCTTGAGTTTTTGTCGTATTAACTGGTGTGAATAAAGTATGTAAAAAAACTGAGTTTCTTTTATTTTTATTTAAATTTGTGATGAATTTCAGTCAATGTATATTTTTAACAGACAACTTTGATTTTAAATGAATCTAAACATTTTGTAGTGCTTATATGGAGTTTATATGTTTTCTCTCTGAGAGCTTCTGTTAAAATGTAAATCTTGAATATTTTTATATTTAGTAAAAGATGAGTTATACTTAGAATAACATTTAGGGCACAAAATTGGAATAGATGCTAGTATATTTATATTTATAAGTATGTTTAAAATACAGTGGTACTAAAATCTGTTAACGATAAGCTTGAATGACCTCTAATTTATGGGTTTGACTCAAACACTTATTTGTTTAAACCTCTACTTTATACAMGTATAAATAGGTTAGTTCTCATATATAAATACAAATATATTATCTATGATAAAATGCTGCCTAAACACTGAACCACTGTGATCTAATTAATGTGCATTTTTCAACTATTGAGTCTGTTATTTCTTCTTCTGTCGATTTTTGCCACAAACCTAGTGCTGCATCCTTGGTTCAGTGAATCTGAAACGTTCAACAAACAAAGAGTCAACGTTTCCTAACTCTGCCTGAGTTTGTTGGAAATAAAAGCTGCAGTTTTCTGAAAGCAGGATTCAGGAGCTTCACAGCTGATGTGTAAAAGCTGAATGTTCCTGAAGAGCAGCTCRAAGTTCAGAGGATGAGTTCTGAGGAGGTTCTGGTCTCCTGAGTGAAGCAGATCCTGAAGTTCAGCTCTGATGTTTCAGGACCTCCTGAGCCTCTGAAGTGACTCAGATGAAGGTTTTTCTCTCAAACTTTCAATCCTCGGACAGTCGAGTCGTCCCGACGTCCRAAAATCCAAAAACAAGAGACAAGTTTWAAAAAAARGCRTTAYAAYTAGAAGAAAGTGTGGCGCAGCCAGTAAGAAGACTGGCTACTACTGTAATCTAAAGGTTRCAGGTTCGATCCCAGGAGGTGTCTTACTGCCTTTAGCTTTAAAARKGGCAAAAACCTTAACTAAACCCTTGAGGGAGCAGGACTTGAACCTGCAACCTGCTGAGCTCTAGTCTCTTTCTTATCCCTCTGAGCTATCACTCAATACAAAAAGTAATGTACTCTGTGCGCATTTATCTTTTAAAATTTGACCATTTTTACAAAAAAATAAATAAATAAAGAACTTAGAAAATATTTGAGGTGAAGTTGAAGGTTGAGCTGCAGAGAGGACACTTTATCAGCAGCTGAGGACTGAATGTAGACCTTAGACCTTCAGCTCAGAGGAGTCATCAGGTCTTAGAGGAGCTCTCATCCAGTTCTGGAGGACATGAAGCCTTTCAGAGTCCACCAGGCTGCTGGATCCTCTGACGTCTCAACACTTGTCCATCTAAAGAGGTGAAGCTTGACTTCGTCATGTTTTCTATTACTTTCAGCTGAAGCTTTAAAAACAGAATCTGCAGAAACTAAACCATAGAAAAACTTCTTTCCTCACCTGAAACACTTTGACATAAAAACTTTGATTTCTCCTGAAAGAAGTTTCTCTTGAGTCACTTGAACTTTTTTAATCCCCTCATGAAGCTCAGAGGAAAACTGTTTAAAAACACTTTACTTTACACTCAAAAACAGATTTGTGTCTAATTTGTTCAATTTTATGCATTCAAGACAAATTCAACTTAGTTTAGTTTTAACATATTTTAAACCTAAAATAAAGTTTATGTGATATGTTAAGATGAAATCACAAATGTTACATTAATCATTTAAAAATATTTAGTATTATTAGTTTAACAATGTTTATTTGGTATAAAAATTTATTAAGGTTAAGAT